CATACATGGTGGTAAGTGAGGTCCACTGAATGCCAACCAAGCAGTTTAGATGTGTGTTTAATTTGTATGCATTGGATGCTGCCCTCACTCAGTCAGAGTTGGATGATAGTTGGAGTATCAATATGTAATGCCATTGCTATTACCACTGTTGTAGGCTGTTATTGGCAGTGCCCAATTTGTGCAGGTGCCCGTATCTTGTGCACAAGATAGGCTTCTTAGGTCCTCTGACAAAAGCTAGTCAGCATTCCGCCACCCCAAACCGAATGCAAATCCTTTGTGAATTGTAATCCTTAGAAATCCAAGACAAATGCATCAACCAGCCTTGTCATTGACAGCCGAGGAAATCAACTTCACCCATCTGTCAGTGTACAATCAGGAGTGAGAAGCTGCTTGAAATGAACGATCACGTGGGTTAGCGGTCAGGGGTTAGGGTTTAGGGATAGGGGTCAATGTATAGAGTCTTAGGGTTTAAGGGGGGGTTTAGGGTTGATATGGGCCTTCCCCGAGCCATTGCTTGAAGCGAAGTGTAATTCTTGCTGCCTTATGCGCGATAAGGAACCCAGAATGAAAACCCAGCCCGCTGCATGCCAAAATGCGCTATACCTGTAGCAGAAAGAGTTCAGGATATTTCAGATGTGCCCATTTCGGGCAACGGGCTTTGCCTGTAATTCCATGTTGCGAGCCAAGACCATTCCTGAAGTTGTTGCTTCTTTCAAGTCAAAAGAGATAATGAGTACTCATGCTCACGAATGACGATGCTTGCAGAAGACCTCTCTGGGAGTATTGTTTACTTTCCTAATATTGGAGTACTACACTTTAATACTTTTTTGGTTCCTGGGTTCTTACTGTAACAACTTATACCTAAAAAGTCTATACTTTTTTCTGGGGTGTACCCCAAGCTAGGGCTTTGCTACTCACCATTATTGCACGCATTTATTGTGAGCGTGGTGGTGACATGGCAACAGGGCAAAGAAATGTTCACCTGAAGCTCCCTTCGGTGGTGCCCTTCCACCAAGAGTGTACGTAGATTTCATGTGACTTGCTGTTAAGGAACTTAAAATGAATTACCATCATATGGTTGTAGAGTGAAGAATAGATTTCCGGGAGTTTACTTTAACTTCTTCAAAAGCAACCCATTCAGTGGGCAACAGGATACAGGAGCCCCAGGAAACAAGAACGCCTTGATGCGCCCAACAACAGCTTGAACAGTGTATTTGGCGGTGTCCCAGAAATAGAGGTACTATTCTGGGGGTCCCTATATTAATATCGGGGTCATTCGGGGTCTATATTGGGTCCCCCTGTTTAGGGAAACTACCATTTCTTACCACTGAACTTCCCAAACAATGAGCATTCCTTTGGACTAAAGTAGACCCGCTTTCTAAGAGGACAAGCAGGGATATCTTTGGTTCGCAGCCAACCTTCCGAGAACCATGCCGGAAACTTGACGAAATCCAATGGCGAAGGATGAGGACTTCTACCTCATGGAAGCTGGGGCACAGTTTTAAAGTTCAAGGCTTAGGGCAGTTTGGAGCTGTTGTTCGGATTTTGGCATGGGATTCGATCTGAGCCTCTCTCTCAAGAAGCTTCTTAGGGTCCTTGCAGGGCTTATTGGGGCCATCGAATTGTGAGACCTTCCGGCCACCAGCTTGGTGAAGCTAGAGCTGAGTATCATTTCTGCGGAGATATTGTAGAAGCCTGAATAATATGGTATAGAGTACTTCAAACAGACGTCAACATGATGTTTTAGTTCTTGAAGCCCGGACAGTACTTTGTGGTCATCGTTGAGTGTGCAGGTATGCGTGCTCTAGTGAGGATGCTCAAAATTGCTCAGGGCCTATATTGAGTGACTGTTTGGCGCATGAGCAGGTGACATAATTGTAGCCTCCTTGAGAATTATTGTTCAGTTTCAATTACAGTATAACCCTAAGGAATTGTTGGAAACAACAATGTGATTGTAGGTGTAGACCGATTGCAGAAAAAGGGCTTGTGTGTTGCTAGATGTCTCCAAGATGTTTGCAGAGGAGTTTGCTGTGCATGTACATGTGGCAGTAATTCCATGATTAATCAATGAAGCTTGGAGCAGTCTCCAACATTGGCGATGCTTGCGTGCAGTCCTTCTATGCACTTCGTTTTTCACAGGACTATGACTTATGGCCAGGTTATATCAGAGAAGCCAGTGAATATGAACACTTTCCATATAAAGTGGAAAACATTCAAGATCACTGGCTTAGGAAATGGGTCGGCAGACGCTGCCGCTCATGTCGCAGGCACGATCGGCTCTTGTCTAGGAAAGCTTTTCACCAAAACATATGAGCTATAGTCGAAACTCCTAGTATCCCCCTTAATACACCCTATAATAGTTCCCTATATGATCCCCTATATAACCCCCTTTAAGGAGTTTAGATTGTGGCTCATATGTGTATTCCTACATATCCTATAGCAACGCCTACAAGCCCCTTCAACGGACTGTAATTTCTGCATTGAAGGGCTTGGGGTTGGGGAGTTGGGGTGAAGTGTGTAGGATTTCGGGTTGAGATTTAGTGTGGTTTGTTTCGAGTTCAGATTTTGGGATTCTGGGTTTAGGGTTTAGGGTGCTTAAGGTCTGCGGGCTTATTGTATTCATGTGTGAGGCGGTCTCAACATGGTCCCAATGAAGTCCGCACAAAAACAGGACCGTCCGTTTGAGAAGTGCCTCTATAGAAGCTAAGAACCAGAAAGCAGCGCCAATGAATTTCTGTTGCTGCATTGTTCTCCGAAGCCCAAGCCTCAAGAAAGGGTCGAATTGGGGCTTCTCAGCATTTAGGGAGGTTTCTGTTAGGTTTTAGGGCACCAGGCTTGACGGTCTGAGAGATTTGAGCTCTACTGGAGGTCTGAAGTTTGTGGGCTGATGGGGGTTTAGGTTCAGGACTTAGGAGGAGTTTGGGTTTAGGGCTTCAGGTTTGGGATTGAGGGGTTTGGGTTTAGGGCTTAGGGACTAAGGCAGCTACAGGAGGGGAGTTTCCATGTAAACCTCTACAGAAGCTCGCCCACTTCTCCTGTAGCTGGTTCTGTAACTTCGAACACGACGGAAGTGTCCCAGAAACTCAACAGCACGCACGCGAGCAACGCTATCTTAGAACCCTAGACCTAGGTTAAGGGTTTAGGGGTTTAGCATGGCCTTGGAACCCGAACCTTGAGCTCTGTAAGCCATATCTTGGACGCTTTCCTTTCAAACCAGAACCTCAGAGGTCCTCAAGACCTCAACCTAAGAATGCTGATAAATTTCAAGCACCGGCGGCCGCTACAAGACCACAGATAACGAATCCCAGTCCCCTGAATATCCCCCCTTTCTTGGGTTGTTATTAAACCCTGAGCCCCTAAGCCCTAAAACCTAAACTGGGAGAGGATTCTTATCCTTGCGGAAGGGTGCAACCGGGAAGCTCCAGGGGTTTGCACGAAGGTCCAGCGCCTGAACGCACATCGTGGCAACATGGTGCGGGCAACTGGGCTCCATAGGGTTCGGGGTTTGTCGGGTTTCAGGGTGTAGGGTTTTGGGGTGTAGGGTTTAGGGTTTAGGGTTTAGGGTTTCGGGTGTGGGATTTACAGGGTGGATAAGGTCAAGGGGTTTATCGGATTTAGGGTTACCAGGATTCAAAAGGTTTAGTTAGGGTTTAGGCTGTTTAGGGCCTTTACTTTACTCTCGTTTCAACTAACTGTCTTTGTAGGTGCCCATTTGGGCTTCCATGTTCGCATGGGTGCGCCTATCTTTCATGACATGTCGCGCCGTTTAGGCTTTGATCCGACGGTTTCCAACAGTCAGGCATCAGTTTTTGCGGGATGTCTTTGAATGCAGGTCAAGAGGGATTGCAGTATACCCTAAACCCTAAACCCTAAATGATTTCAGTATGTTTCTGGAATTTCAGCGCATGGACCACATTGTTGAGCTGTGGACTCAAATCCCAAGGACATCCCAAGAGGCAACTGCCTTCAGTTTGAGTAGATTCTAGGGTTTAGGGCTCTATAGGGATTATACACGGATTATTTAGGGGTTACATAAGTTGTTACAAGGATTATATAGGTTCTAGGGCCCCTGTTGCAAGGGTTTTGCGATGAAGGTGGACTTGAACGGGGACTGTCTCTCGCTGCTGGGAGAGACGCAGCTTTTGTGGTGCATAGGTAGCAGCGTTGTTTCTGGTAGTTCTAACTTGCCCGGACTGGGTGCTAATATCCAAACTTCTGCATGACGCTCACTACGTCATGCCTTGGGAATCATGTTCTTCCAGTATACAAACCAAGATCATGCGAGGTTTTTAGTTTCCATAGCAGTAGCAAGTGGATATTGCTTACCTTAACGCACGCAACGAGGGGGCATCCTACAGTAGTCGCCCTTGGATAGTATCTTTGGAATTCGGGTAGCCAAGAGTCCTGAGGCCAATATAGTCCCTAAAAAAGAAGCCATGTCCATTAATTGCCTGGGGAAATATTTACTGTACCTCACATGACTCTTAACGTAGACCCGTGATGAATACCCCCCTCCTTTTAAGGGCCTTAATTAGGATCCCCAGTATAATCCCTATTGAGAGGAGCGGGGTTTATGAATCACCCGTGAATAGGGCCCTAAACCGTGAAATGTAAAACCTAAGCCCTGGACCCTAAAACCTAAGCGTCCTCATTTTAGGGGTTGGGTTGCCCAACATCTTGGCGTTAAGTAGTAACTGTAGTTTTTTGGATAACTATAGCTCTGGGCTTGGTTGGATGGTTAAGGTTTAGGGTTTGGGGTTTACAGGCGGTTTAGGGTTAAGGGTTTAGGGTGTAGGGCTTGAGGTTTAGGGATTGGGGTTTGTGGCTTCGTGTTTGGAGCTTAGGTTTGGGGTTTAGGGTTTAGAGTTTTAGGGTTTACGGTTTGGGGCTTAGGGTTTGGGAGTTTAGAGGTTTAGCTACTGGGCTTCCTGTTTAGGGTTTAGGGTTTGGGGTTTGGGGTTTAGGGTTTAGGGTTTAGGGGCAGTTTCTTCCTATCTGAGGTAAAGCGCCTGGGGATCTACCAGCCCGTCATGTGGAGTGAGGAGTGGCGCCGTACTTGAAGGTTCATGGCACCTGCGACCTTTTATAACTGGGCGTATAGCCTTGCTACTATGGACCCTAACCCCCGAAAGGCGATGTATGCTTTACCCCAATCATCGTAGGTTTTCAAACCCAGTTGGAAGTAGTAACCAAGTTCCATGAACCTTTAAATAAGTAGGTTTAGGGTTTAGGGATTGTAGGTAGGGTTCTAGTTTGGGCCATGTTGCATTGGGCTGCTTGTGTTTTTGGATTGTGCCCTGAGGTTTCAGGGCGGACGTTTCGGATTTTCGCCCTGAAGGTTCGTGCGCTGGGCTTAATGACTCGCGGGTTATTGACTTAGCATTGAGGCTGTAGAGTAGAGGGGCTTAGGATTTAGGATTAGGGTGTAATTAGGGTAGGGGGTTTGGTGTTTGGATTGAGCTTCTCGTTTTTTGGGGTTTAGGGTGTAGAGTTGGGTTTTAGATTTTGGGGTTCAGGGCTTAGGGTTTCGAGGGATCTGACCGTCCAGCATCTTAATTTCTCATCCCCTGCGTGCTAGACACCCCTGCTACTCACAAACGGGTCCCTGTTTAGGAAGGGGGAGAGGGAGGGATCCCCCAAAAATAGCAATGGTTTTAAATCGAAATCGGTTGAAAGGGTTTCATCAATAGCCCAGGTAAAGGAGCTTTAAAATCCATAGGCCGGCCACCAAACAATTATTTTGGCCGGTGGAACTACGCACAAACAATCACCTCCAAACGAAGTGGCGAGATGCTGTGCACCTCCTCAATCCAAGAGTATTCCTTAATCACATGAATGATCGCCGTAGCATCTGCGGTACATCCCTTTCTTGATTCAGGGTGTGTTGGGCTTTCTGGCACTTCAGCCAAACTTCGCGCAATTTAAAACCCCCACGCTAATCGGGATTTAACATTGCACAGGAGGCGATGGAGCATGTGCTGAGTCTGATTCCAGATGTGCGAGTTGTCTGTGCCTCAGCGCCCTCTTGTCTCCGCAAGCATGAAGCCCTAAAAGCAAGCTAAGGGCTCTTCTTGTCCCATCTACGCTAGCTGAGGCCATCTGACGAAAATGTAGTGCTCCTCCCACAGACCTAAGCTAGACAAATCAAGAACTTCACGGGCTGGCACAGGTTGATTTTGTATATGAAAGCGAGTGGGCTATCTCCCCACCCTGCAAGAGAAGAACTTCCAATCCCAAACAACTAGAGGTCAAATGGTCGTTCTCAAACCACCACTATTTGTGGCTTAGGGTCTCTACCTACGAAACGGTTGTTTTGGGAACAACCCCGCCATTTAATTCCATGCAGCCTCTCAACCCCAATTGTTTCAAGCCCTGAACCCTAAAAACCTCAGATTGTGGCCGTTTGCGACCCAGCGGATCGCTTTGAGAGGCGGGGAGATTCAGATGCAAGACGCAGCAGTATCCTCTGTCTTGCCATTCCTCCACTCCTAGCGAACTAGGTCCATGGTCTACTAACAAGAGGCAACTAAACCCGAAACTTGAGGCCCTGAAACAACAAAGCCTTGGGTGCAATTCCCTACGGCTTATTCCCGTGCAGTGCTCTCCCCGTTAAATTGTCCCGATGTTGGCCTTTTAGAGAAAAGTGCGGGAAAGGTTGCATTCATAGCACAAAATTGCGCACTGACCATACAATACATAAGCCCTAAGCCAATCCGCCAGTCCCTAAACCCTGAAAAATGACCAAGAGCTGTAGCCATGTAACGGCCATTGGCTCCTAACTCCCAGCACCAACCCGAGACCTTCATCCCATAGACCTGGAACTCAACTCCCTAAACCTTAACCTCATTTTTTTGGGGGCTGCCTTGTACTCTCCAAACCCTAAACCCTAAACCCTAAACCCTAAACCCTAAACCGGGGGTGCGGGGAGTGACAGCAACCCTCAGTCTGGAGCCCTGAACTTGGAAGCCTGAACTCTGAGCTTTAAACTTTAGGGTTTAGGGTTTAGGCCTGGATCAATGTTCGGGATCTTTTTTGTTTTTTGGGGTGTGGGAATCCTTGTATTTATGTAAAAAGGATCCTTTTTCTTCCGAGGGCAATGTGGGCTAAGAAACCTGGGTTCTCAGCAGGAAGTTGCACCTGGAGAATGAGCCTAGCGAAGACGAGCTGCAGGAGAGGATGTTAAGTTCGGAGGTGGATCCGAAAAATCCGGCATGACCCCAAGTATCTACTTCCTTGGGAAGTATGGTACGCATTATTATTGGTATTCTAGTTATAGTATAGTTAAAGTCATGCAGGATTTCCGGTAAGGCTCGGGATGTAGGGTTTGGGGATTAGGTTTAGGGGCTTAACTAGATGTCAGAGATTTAGGCTGTCGGGAGTAGGTTTCTGACCTTAGGCCATATACGGATCAGGCGTGCGCGGTCTAGTGTTCAGGAGAGTATGTAAAGTCGGAGTTTCCGCCAGAGGGTCCGAAACATAGATAACTGTTGGGCAAGGATGTCTGAACCCTAAGCCTTCAAATCTATGATGTCATGTTCAACATGTGCGTCTGTTGTTGTTCGTTTGTTTTTTTTCTTACGGGTCTTGTCCTCATCAATCCCAAGCCATACGATACCGGCCCTACAAGAGACATTGATAGCCATAGTGTCCTTGTTCTGAAGGTTGCGGGAACCACTCCTCTTGCGTCCTGTTCTGGTGCCTCAAAATCTGAGGTGCCCCCATGGGGGCCCGTGTTTTTGATGTTCAGCTAGTGCAGGCGGCCCCTCCCATTTTGCTTGGAGTCTGTAGAGTCCGTAGACAGAGGCACAGACTCTCTTCAAGAGAAACGCACCCAGGATGCAAGGGCTTTGAACGTTTTGAAGAAATCCTAGACCTTACACTCCAAATCCTACATCCTAAACCTTAAGCCCTACATGTGGGGGGGGGGAAGCAGGGATGTCTGGGAATACCAAGTGATAAGGGTTCCACTTAAGAATTCTATATGAGTAACCCTGAGACTCCCCCACAAAATCCCCAACTATAGTCCGTAAATCCTAAAGCGCGAACCCTCACCTCTTAACCCTTGCTGTCGAAACTGACTGACGAAGCTGCTCTCTACAAGAACAATGAACTCGCAGTCGTCATTCATGGCTGAGTGCCTGTGGCACCGATTAATCACATGCATTACCATGACTGATTGTAGCACAGATGCTCTTTTGCCTACCAGTGTAACCTGTGTTGCTGCCCTGAACACGCTTGTTTAAAGTGTTTCCAGCAGTCTGTAGCGGTATCGACCATGATCCGACTTGTGCTCATCTTTGGCAGGGTTCTCATTGTGAAAGTTTCCAAGCCGACAGCAGGAGAAGATGCTCAAAAAGGTGCAAGATCAAAAGCCACTTGTCAGCCCTCATGCTGCCATGGGGCATGTCGCAGATTTAAGATTTGCATGCACCGTGCTTGTGGGTGATGATGACGAGGTAGCTTTTCATACTACGAATCCTTGCGATCCTGCAACTGTTTGGCGTGTGGGTTATTCTTTATAGTTCCCGTATCACCTTGGAATCCAAACCTTACACGCTACACCCTAAATCCTCTTCTTTCCTTTGACGGTGTCTCGCACTCCAGTACCCCAAAAGTTGGGTCCTTCCCACTTACAGTAACTCTTACCACAACAGGTAATGCGAATTATCATAGCCCCTTAATACCACAACCTTTTCAGGACAGTTGCTGTAAGGGGGAATGACTCAGCCCAAATGAGCAGTAGTCTAAACTCCTCAAAGGGGGTTACATAAGGGAATGTCTAGGGGACAGCTATAGTGGTTATTAAAGGGGATACTAGGAGTTTAGACCCTAAACCCTATACAGGTTATTAAGGGGGATACCAGGAGTTTAGACTCTGGCCCAAATGCGATGAACCCCATGGTCCCTAGGTGCCAAATATCTGGCTCCACAGACCCAGAAGCCCCAAAAGGCCGGTCAAGGGTTTAGGGTACCCTAAACACTGAACCCTAAACCCTAATCACCCTAATGCCTAAACCGTAAACTCTAAATCCTAAAGCCTACACCCTAAAACCCTAAACCTTTTAGGTTTGGGTGGGCCTCCCCCAGACCCGACTCCAGGCTTAGGGACCCTTAGGGTGTAGGCCAATAGTCCCCCTTAAGTAGATAGAATATGGAGGTTATAGTGAGATAATGGAAAAGAAAATGGAAGCTGCTATTTAGGGTTTAGGCTTTAGGGTATAGTACCCCTTAAGTAGATAGAAGATGGCTTCGGGTAGATTATAACAAGAGTCCCATTTACCCCCATATTCTACTTACTTAAGGGGGATTATAACCCTAAACCCCTAAGCCCCTAAACCCTAAACCCTATATTCTATCTATTTAAGGGGGACTATAACCCCTAAACCCCCAGAGCCTCCAGCTCCCAAACCCAACATGTCCAGTCCCTCAGCGGGTATAGTTTTTTTTTTGGCCGAGGGTTTTGGGTTTAGGGTTCATAGGTTTAGGGTTTAGGTTTAGGGTACCCTAAACCCTAACACACCTTAACTCCTAAATCCCAAGGTACTTGTACTTCGGGGCCGCCCTCGCCTCCCTCAGAAACACCTTCGGCGAACGCATGCTGCTGGTGGAGAAGGACAGTTTGGTGGCTTTGCTGGGTTGCTGTTAGGGACCTTAAAATAAGTCACCGTATAATGTAGGGTTTCGCGTTTAGGGTTTCCACAATATGGGCATATTGTAAACAATAGGGTTTCCTTATTATAGTAACTCAATTTCAGTTCCGTAACCGCAACCCAGTTTAGGGATGCAGGCTTCAGGCTTAAGGGCACAGGCTTAAGTGCGGAGGGTTTAGGGGTTTGGGGTCTCTAGGGTAGGGCTAGAGGAGGCTTTTAGCAATTTTCAGATTAGAGTTTCAGGGTTCTTCAAGGGTTTTTTTGAGCATTTAGGGCTCAGGGTTTAGGGGCCCACGCACTCCAGGTCTGGCGTTGAAGTTCGTAGGTACCGAAAACCCCAAATCTTAAACCCTAAACACCCGAATCCTAAACCCCTAAACCCCAAATCCTTTTAAATCCTAAAATCCAAATCCTAAACCCTGAGCCCCAAATCCTAAACCCTAAACCCTGAGCAGACGAAGAAAAAAAGCTATACACCCCCTTCAGTAGACAGAGTATGGATTCCTCATATACCCCATATTCTATCTACCTAAAAGGAACTATAAACCCTGAGAAGAAGAAGAAAAGTTAGCAGGACAACCTGGATCGGCCTCAGACCTACGAGCGGTTGGCGAGCTTCCTAGATGTGAGGCCTAGGGCATCACCTTAACTTTTGGGTTTAGGGCTTGGGGCTTAGGGTTTAGAAGTTTCGGGTTTAGGGGTTTAGGGGTTTAGGGTTTAGGGCTTGGGGCTTCAGAGCTGAATTCTACAGTAGGGCTTCAGGGTTTTGGGGTTTAGGCTTGAAGGTTTTAAAGCTTTAGGGTCTTTAGGGATTTTATGAGTTTAGAGGATTGATGGACAGCAAAAGGGGAGTTGTGGGGCCCTGGCATGACACTTGACGGGTTTTCTGTTTTGCCGCTTCGTTTTTACACTAATAAAAATGTAATGGGACCAAAACCGTAGCCCCCAAGAAAGGAACACTCTACCCTCTTTTTGGATGCAGTATGATATCAGAATGATACAATCTTACGTGTTTCAGCCACTTAACCAACCATGCTCTGCGTACAATGGTTTCGCCCCCAAACTAACGTGGAATCCTATAGAGGTCCCGGAAGGATTATAGAGTTCCACGCCAGCTTTGTTGGTAGAAAACTTTCACGCACATCCTTAAAGCAAAAAACCCAAACCCTAAACCCTAAACCAAAAAAAACCCTAAACCCTAACCCATCATTCCGAGCCAGCTTTGCCAGGCCTTTCCCCGCGCATGCCCGACCCCGGCGCTACAACTCCAGAGGGCTGCTCCCAGACGGCATACAAGTCGCAACAGAGATGGGGGTTACCCAAAATTAAGTGTACCAAATTTGGGGGTCCCTACAATAAGGACTATAATATATTGGGGTCTATCTTGGGGTCCCTTTATTTAAAGAAACTACCAGATGGCAATAGTTGTAGTAAGAGCAACTAACAGTACCTAGACACCCACATATGTAGAATAACGGATTTTTTTGGCTGGTTTCAAAGGTTTTGTGCCATAGCTTTACTTAGGAATAGTAATAGTAATAGTAAGAGTACGAGGGGCAGTACGACTAACAGTAATAGTAACAGCAGTAGTAAAGGGAATAGCAACAGTAATAGCAGTAGTGACAGCACAAGCAATTGCAATCGAAACAGTAACAGTGATGATAAGAGGAAAATAGAAAGAGTATTGGTGATGGGTAAAGATGGGACATAGGGCTATGTGGGGTTTTATAGGTTTATACGGCAAGATGAGGCGGCGAACGTCGCTGTGTTCACAGCCGCCGCTAGTCGAGTGGGTGCTACTTGGCAGCGTGTGAGGGCATCTACCGTAACCCAAACAAGCATGGAAGCCTCCCAAGGGGGCCCTTTGCTGTAGGCAGGATTACCCATGTAGCGGATTAAGAGGAGTATAGAAAGGACTATATACATTACTGAAGGGACCCCAACAAGATGACCGCCCTTTGAAAAAATATGGAGCCTCTTTGGCTTTCACATAAAATGGGGCCTCTTTGGGTTTCTTGTTAGTGTTTCTCCCTTTGGGTCTGTGGGGTCGCCGGGAAGAGGATTCCGGGAGTGCGGCAGGCTGAGCTTCAAGGAATCAGGTCCCCCGGCCTCCTTGGCCTGCATGGGAAAACAGTTACTTTAGCACCTTATCCAAAGAATCCCGCAGAGTTTTCCCTGGCACTTATGCGCAATTTTTGCAAGACTTGCAAGAGAGGAGAGGGAAGCGCGTACGTGTGCTTAGACGCTGGCTACAAGCCAAATATGAGCACCTGAGATGAACCTCCAAGTAGACCCACGGTGTTTAGGGTTTAGGGTTAGGGTTTAGAGCTTAGTAGGGTTTAGGGTTAGGGTTTTAGGGTTTGAGGTTGGGGGTTTAGGGTTTAAGGTTTGTAAGGTTTAGGGTTTAGGGTTTATAAGGTTTAGTGCTTAGGGCCCCTAAACCAGCCCACAGACCTTCAAGAACTTGAGTCTCTAAACCCTAAATTCCTGAGGAAAGCTGCGATGGCGAGGGAGTATGATGCCTTGGAGGCAGTAATGGGCTGCTGTAGGGTTTAGGATTATGCGGCTTAGGATTTTAGGCTGCTATTTCAAACCATGAACCTCAGCTCCAAACTCCAGCCTACCTGTATACTACCTATAGATAGAAGGATTTCTTTCGCCCTTAAGGAAGGCCTTAAGTACCTAATCCCCTAGCACCAAGTTGCTGAACTTCCTAAGACCTTTCTAGTTCTAGTCCTTCTACCAAGATTGCTTGAACGCCTTAACGTTCTCAGGTCCCTTGTAGCCTACTGTCCTGTAGCAGGGGGCCTATATGGGCACCAAATTCTCAATCCTGAACCCTAAACCTAAGCATAAAACCCCTATAGCTCCATGCCTCTAATCCCAAAGCCCGAGACCTTCAACCAACCTCAACTTCTGAAGCCGAAGCCACCAGACTGTCTGGAGGTTTCCGTAAACAGGGTGCCCCAACATAGACCTCAATATAGTAGAAGCCCTATTGACTAGGAGTCCCAAAGAGTGATTCCCATTTTTCGGCAGACCCATATTCCTTTTGCTTGCACGCCTTTTAACCTTACTCTAAACCCTTAAACCTAAACCCTAAACCCGAAAGCCTAAAGCCTAAAGCCTAAACCCTAAACCCTAAACCCAGCCCTAATGCCTAAGCCCATTAACCCCTCAAAACCCGAGGGCTCAGGAATCCCTCTCAGCCTTCATCCCAAGACCCCAATCCCTAGGTTTAGGGTTTAGGGTTTAGGGTACCCAGCCTTGCAAAACACTTATCTTATGTTAGCAAGGAATCAAGGGAAGCATCCCTAAAGTAGCCCCTACTTGCTCTTCAATAAATAGTGCCACGTTCTGTTCCACTGCTTCATTGCCTTCCAAAGCCAGAGGTAAGCAATATAACGAATGTGTAAACGCAGCCTCCATTTCATTGTCCGTGTTCTTTTCATTTGATTCTCCATTACTGGGGTAATATCCCTATCTAGCCGTACTTTACCCCCTGAGCCCTGAACCCTAAACCCTCATCCCTGTACGCGAAACCCTGAATCTTAGACTCTAAGCCCTAAAATCCTGAAACCTAAACCTCAAGTTTATAATCCCTAAACCCTGAGCAATATTCCCTAGCAAGGCAGACTAAGGTCCAGCACAAAAACCCCAAATCTTAAACCCTAAATCCTAATCCCTAAGCCCTAAACCCTTAAACCCTAAACCCTAAATCCTAATCCCTAATCCCTAAACCCTAAACCCTAAACCCTAATCCCTAAGCCTCCCAAACCCCAAGAAGAAGGCACTGCTGCCGGAGCCATCAGAACGCCTTCGGCTGCGCCGCACGCGCTGCGAAGATCCCGACGGCTTTGTGATGGTTCCTTGACTACGATTTCAGGATTTCTGCGGTTTGGGGATTTTCATAGAATTATTTTTTCAACACACCGACATGAACCCTAAACCCCAAAACCTCACCCCAAAATCCTAAACTCTAGGTTTGGGCAATCTTCCTGCTGGGTAGCCCAAGGGTTCAGGGTTTCGGATGCCTAGAGTTAGATAATGTACCCTCTCCAAAGTCAATGTGGTTTGGGGTTTAGGGTTTAGCGTTCATGGAACCCTCAAAAAAGGGTTGCTTAGAAGGACACCCTGTAGCGTGGAATCCCCCAGCAAACGAAATCGACATACTCTTTCAGAAGGACAGTCGTCTACACAGAGCCTCTTTCGAGGTTCCATGTCAAGAGTAGGGTTTCGAAGCCCCTAAACCCTAAACCCTGAACCCGAACAATGTTTGGTTCTATGCAACCTGTCCTTCTAATGGCCGGCACCAGTGACAACTCCTAGCCGGGCTCAATGATCCAGACAAAGGTTTAAGGTGGAGTGTTTAGAGGGTTTACGGTTAAGGGTTTAGGGGATTAGGGTGAAGGTAGACGCCAGAAAGAGGTGCTTGTAAGACCCACCTAGGGTCCCTGATTTCGAGAATCGCTTGCAATAATGCTTCAGAGGGACCTATACTTCGTTGAATTGCAGCCCCTGAATGCTGGGCATCCCTAAGCCTTAAACCATTTACCCTAAAGCCTCAATCCTCAGACCTAAGCCCTAAGCCCTAATGCCTAAACCCTGCATTGAAACCACACCATGTAAGCTATAGTCTAAACTCCTTAAAGGGGGTTATATAGGGGACTACTATGGGGGTTATTAAGGGGGATACTAGGAGTTTAGACTATAGCTCCATGTGATTGTGCCTGAGGAGAACCTCAAGCTCCATCTCTGAGTCTCCGGGCTTTTAGCACGGAGAAAAGTGGGGCTTGCAAGCTGGATGTCCATGGCATTGTGCATTATCTTTGTCCCCAAACCCTAAACCCCAAACCCTAAACACTAAACCCTAAACCCTAAACCCCAAACCCTACACCCCAAACCCTAAACCCTAATGAAAGAGATAATTTTGCAGGCATTTTGCAGCTGGAATTTCAGGTCCAGTCATGATCCATCGCCGTTAGCTTCAGGCATAGTCCCCTTTAAGTAGATAGCATATGGTTTTTGGGCATAAGATCCCCATATACCCCATATTCTATCTACTTAAGGGGGACTATAACCCTAATCCCTAAACCCTAAAACCTATATACCCCATATTCTATCTACTTAATGGGGATTATATAGATTCCAAGGCATGCTTGTAGCAGCCAGCTCAGCTCCCTTCAACTGAACCTTAAATTTTGAGGACTGCAGGGTCCTCCACCCTAGCCCCTTAGGGGGGGGGGTAGTAGGGAATGAGGGAATATGTCTATATATATATATATATATAGAGATCATGTATGCTTCTACAGGGATGAGATTCCCCTATTCCATACTGACCACCAGAAAGTAAATCAGAAAGTCCTTCATCCCGCAAGCGTCCGAACTCCATTGCAACCCTCTGCAGCAAAACGTGAGCCCCTTTACAGTCTCAACCCCCTAAGACCCTAAACCCCAAACCGAGCCCGTTTACACTCTTAAGCCATGCCCCAAACCCTAACGCTATCACGTCACTTCAAACTGCCCTAAACCCTAAACCCTAAAACGCCTTGAGCTTGCTCTCTGCCAGTCACGCCATGCGGGAGTTCTGCCAGGAGTGGAAAGCTTTCAGCTACAACCCCCTGAGTTCAGGGTCTATCAGGGTGGTTGTAGACCGCAATATGCTACTCTACAATCCGTGGTATGGGGACCCCCAAAATGGTACCCCTGATTGTGGGAGACCCCAAAATTTCTCAGCATTGTGCTTTTATGTAATTGGGGAAGTCTTCCCTATTATGGGGTGAAGGCGCTCTAGCATTGGGGGGAGGAGGTGGCTGCTGGGAGCTTCTAATTTGTTGTGCTTCGTGAAGGCACAGGACGAGTTTCATTTTGTTCTCGGAATCTCAGTGGTGGTAGGGGTTCTTATGGCAAAGAGATGGTGCTTGTAAACGTGGTCTCTAGTAAGGAAGGTTTACGAATTTCACGCGTCGAAGGGGATATGATTTCATGTAGGAGTTGGAAACTGTTTGGCTATATTCAAACTTGTATCGCACTGCTTCTAGAGAAGCTTGATGGGCCTTTACACCCTAAATCCTAAACCCAAACCCCAAATCCCAAACCCAAAATCCTAAATCCTAAACCCTAAACCCTAAATCCTAAACCCTAACCTCTAAGCCCTAAAGCTGCCCATGATCCCTAGAGCTGCAAGAACGTTGTTTCAAAGTAGTGGACCTGTAGTACAGGGATCCCTAAACCGGACATGTGTGTTTTGAGAATAGGGTTTAGGGTTTAAGGGTTTAGGGATTGGGGGTTTACGGTTTAGGGGTGTAGGGGTTGTAGGGTTGTAGGGTTTAGGGGTGTAGGGGTTTAGGGGTTTAGGGGTTTAGCGTTTAGGGTTCAGGGTTGTGTACTCCTTAAGCTACAGAAGCTCAGCCTCAATGTTTTATCTACTTAAGGGGGACTATAACCCCAATATATACCCCATTATAATATACTGGTTTCCATTTTCCCTATATAACCCTACTTCTTTACCCCAGATTCTATCTACTTAAGGCCCAGTAAAATGGTAAAAGGAAGGTTACGGGCTATCTTAGACTACAAGGATGCACTAGAGAATTGTGGGGTCTGTATTGGGTCCCCCTTTTTGTGGCAACTACAAGGTGGCAAAGAAGCCATAAGAATCGTAAATCATTGCTGATATTATCTTCTTGTATTTCCTATAGCTACTTTTAGTGCAAAGTGAAGCGTTGCACAAAACAGTGGATACCACAAATCCTGTATGAGCTGTCTACAAGACGTAATTCTCGAGGTGTAGGG